GACGCTACTCCGAAAACTTGCGGTCCAGAAAAATCATTCGGTCGTACAGCTGCTGGCTGTACCTGTAGAGCCCCAAGTTGAGGGTGTGCGTGTCTTTATTTCCTAAAATGGGAGAGTGGGCGTGTTGCAAACGGTTTGGTTCGATAGTACGGAAGAGAAAAAAGAAAAAAAAAAAAAGAGTGGGGACGGACGGAATCATATAGACATGGCGCATGCAGGTAAACCTGATTTTCACCATGAGGGTGCTTTACTTGGCCACAGGACCACCTTCTCGTCTTTTCCATCGGCGGGGTGAAAGGAGAACTCCACGCTGAAATTGTTGTACTTGAGCATAGGCAGAAAGAAGGCTCGGAAGTCGCTACGAAGGTGTGCGCATATGCGGGGGGAGGAAGTTGGTTGAGCTTTTTATTGGCAGGATCGCTCGACGACCGAACTCCTGGACCGCTGAACCGCTGGACTGATGGACCACCCGTGGGGCCCTTCCAACTCCCCAACGGACACCCAGGGGAGAGCCGATTTACCTCACGACCCGGTTGGACGGGCTTGCATAGAATTCCACCTTCCCAATCGACTTGAGCTCAACTTTGGAGCAGAGCAGGATTTTGTTAATGCGGTTGACACTCATTTGTTGAAGCAGGTATGAGGATCGAGTGAGGGCAGGCCGTGCACGCACACGTCAATCCATGTGATCCTGTACGGTTCGGCTGATACCCGTGGGGTGGTCACAGAGTAGTAGTAGTACTAGCCCAAACGACTTGCAAAAAAAAGGGGAAGCCTCCTCACCACTGCAGTTTATACGTTGGCGGATCCAGTCATGTAGGTTCCTGTTAATTCGCTTGCGAAAGAGGAGAACAAACAGAAAAAGAAGAAAAAAGAAGGAAAAAAAAAAAAAACTTTTCAAACGATTCAGCTCAGCGTTAACTGCACTAAAAATGAAGATCCCTTCTTCCTCTCAGCGCAAGTGCAATTTTTTGCCCTGCCTGCCATGTGTCGATACGGCTGCACCATTGAGGGGTGACATGGTCGATTTAATAATATTACTTACAACAGCGCCTATTCGTTGCCACGTCGGTTGGTTTCCCACATAGCAGCTGTGCGCACACACATAATATGTTCCGCTTAGCTCCCTTCTTTTCTTTTTCCTCACAGTGTGGGGCAACCAGAACTGCCACGTCGAAAAGGTCCAACGCGCACATTACAACGTAGTTGGGGTTATACGCAGTAAAATTTCAAGCATTTTCCTTATTAATGTCTTTAAAGTTGCATGTGGCATGTACCATGTGGCGCGTACCATGTGGAGGAGTGGGGGGGAAAAATAACTCGGCGCTGAAAATAAGGCGTGCACAAGAAAAGCAACATGGAGCGATAAAAAAAGGGGCGAATGGATGCACACATATATATACAGAATATGGATGCAGATATATTTTTATTTACCAACAAGTAAAAAAAAAAAAAAAGAAAAAGAGAAAAAAAGAAGAAATATGCATCGATATTAACCGCATCCCAGGGGGAGAGAGAGGGGCAAGGTTGCCCGCCTGGGCGTCTCCCAGGGGGGTGCTCCCAATGGGGAGCATTCCTTCTCTTTCGTCTTTCCTCTTTCGTCTTTCCTCTTTCTTCTTTCCTCTTTCGTCTTTCCTCTTTCTTCTTTCCTCTTTCATAGTTTCATTTTCCATTTCTTTCTCTCATCTTTGCTTCTATCCTTCTCTCCCATCTTGCCTCCTGTCCCACCCGACTGTGCGCAGCGGCTAACCAGCTTCTACTCATCTCCCGCCGTGGGGAGGAGCGCCTTGTTGGCGTCCGTCTTCGACTTGGCCTTCTTCTCCTCCTTCTTCTTCTTTCGTTTCACCGAGTTAGTAATGCTGCTGTAGTAGGCGTGGTTAACCTTCTGCAGCTCCTTTTTCTCGATTTTCTTCTTCACTCGGAGTTCCCTCTTGTTGTTCTTCTTGGCCTCAATGCTCTTCTTCATTTTCCTGATGGCAATGGATCTGAGTAGCTTATACGCTGGATTCAGTCTGCACCTGACGGCAAAGTTTGTGAGGGAGTTCTTGTTCTGTAGTCTCTTCTTGCAGGGTCTCTTCTTCGCCAGCAAAGTTGCCTGCACCTGTTCGCTGCTAATGATTCGATATATATCTGAGTTTGCCATAATCGATTTGGGTAAGATATAGTTTTTTTTGGTAACTTTCTTCTTGTAGATCCTTCCATACATAACGTCCAGCTTCTTAAATGCGCTTTCACTCCAGATGCACAGCCTGCCAATGGATCCACCTGGAGCCAATTTCAGCAAATTGAGTTTTGTAACCTTACATAAATCCACCCCAGGGATATTCCTAAAGGCTTTTTTGACCCCCGAATCTTTGTTGTATATAATGAGAGGACCATTCCTCATTCGATATTTCCTGTTTCTCATTTTTCCTTTTCCAGCTCTGATTTTTTTTGACTTAATCAATCGGTTCACTTCTTCTTTCAATCCTAGAGTGATTAAAAACTTCAACGCTTCTTTCGTTTTGCTTATAGATTCAATATCATTGCTAACGACCAGTGGGACCTCCTGAATGTTCGAGATGCGATGCCCTCTGGCTAGGACTAATGATGTGACCCCACTAGCTGCAATGGATGAGCAAACTGCGTAACGCTTCTCTTTCAGGTTAACTTTCCTTCCCCATCTTCTCCATATCTTTGTTGGATTAAACATCCCTCCACCTCTACACATGTTTCCAAATGCTCCTTGTCCTGCTCGGTGTGTTCCTCCTCCTGGTACCCTCGGGATTCGTGCCACTGCTCTTCCTGTCCCCCAGGACTCTGCAGATGTTTCGTACCCCGCGCCCAACTTAACTGCATACGGGTGTCTCCTATTCTTCGAGATGTTCTTAAACACTTCCTGAATCAGGTCGCTTCTTATGGGGGTTTGAAACACCACCGGGATTTCCACCTCACCAACCACCTGCTTGCTGCTCGTGCTGTACACGTTTGCCACGGGTCTCACGGTCGCCATTGGGTGCTGCGCGGGCGGGCGGTGAAGATGAGACGAAGCGGTTAAGCGGTTAGGATCCGACGAAGAGGTTAAGGGGTTAGAATCCGACGAAGAGGTTAAGGGGTTAGAATCCGACGAAGAGGTTAAGGGGTTAGGATCCGA